GAAGTGTAGAATAATTGAAATTTTGATTTGAGGATATTGGTGTATAGGGATATGCCTGCTAAACATTCTATTACAGTTTTGACTTAATTCGACAGTTTTTTATTAAGTTATAGAAAGTTAAAGTTGAAAGTTGCAAAACCGCCAATTCTTTTTGTAGGTTATTTCGGTTCTGGGGTTCAAGAAGTTGACTTTTTTTACTTTTGAACCACCAAAGTTACAAAATCACATATAATTTTGTAGATAAAAAAAAACACACATCATAGGAATACCAGCTCGGTATCGATGCTAAAAAACAGCTTTGTAAATAAACTAACAACGTTGCTATAACGCTGAATGTATCCTTGGGCAAAATATCACCTAAAAATTATCCACAGAAAATTAAAACTCAGAAAAAATGAACCCCACAAATAACGTCCCCGAGCTCCTAAAATGATTACTTAAGTATTACTGACAAAGTGATGAACTCACAGATATTGAAAATATTGTCATCATATTGTTAATTACCATATCATGGGTATCTATGGTAATACATTTTCATAGACAGACGATTAACCCTAAACGAATCCAACCTAATATTAAAAAATAATTTTCAATCAAATAATAATTGTCATTAGTTACAAAGATTTTATCGATACTTGTATATGTATCTGTAAACACTGGACCTTATTTCTCTCTATTTTTGCCTTACTTTATCAAATGATGATATTCTTAACCTTTCTTACACATCAGGCCAAAATTAATTTTTTAATAAAAATTATTACTAGATGTTTTAATTTTTGTTGTGGTTTGGTTAAACTTAAAATTTACTACCGTCAAAATTAATTTTCAGATTTTTTTCCCCTTAAGGAAAAAAGTTTGACCAATGTCAAATAATGTCCAATTCAGGGTAATGATTTCATCGTGAACCACTGAATATTTCATAGGGTTTAATAAGAATGTGATCTCAACTGTTCATATTATTGTTTTTTACCCCTCACACTTAAAGAGTCAGTCTTAGGTTTATACTTTAATTTTAATAAGGGTTAAACGTTGTATACATAAAAACGATTTGTTTGTTAAACAAGTGTTTTGTGCTATAATTATATATTATAAATAACAATTCACACCGTATGCATAGGTACTTGTTGTGTTATTATTCTGAATCACATAAAAACATGTTGTTGCAAACTCAATAGTATCACCATACAATTTTCAGTACTCATATACTTTATATATATACATAAGTTATATTCCGCTTCAGATTAATGTAAACAAAATGAATCCCAGAAATAACGTCACCGAGCTACTAAAATGGTTACTTAAGTATTACTGACAAAGTGATTCACACTGTATGCATTGGTGCTTGTTGGTTTATTATTCTGAGTCACACAAAAACATGTTGATGCAAAGTTACTGTTGATGCAAACTCAGTTATATTCCGCTTTAGATTAATGTAAATATCGAATGTTGCTTGTGTAAATAAATTCGCATAAACAATTTTGAAAAACATTTCTAGATTTTATTTTTTTGGACGACACAATAAAGGCCATTCGGCAAGTCGTAAGTAAACCTTTGCAGCAGCCGGTTTGACTATCGTTGCAGTTTTTTAAGTAAGTAATACTACCAAAATGTCAAAAATGGTAAAACTGTAAACTTTTAATATGTTTTAATAAATTTTAATTATTTTTCCGCATTAGACCTTCGATAACATTTAATCAACTATTCCAAGTAATACTATCAGACTTCAAAAGCTGTAAGTACGCTTTCAAACAGAAATAGATGAATTTTAAACACGTTTATCTAATAATAATATACAAAATTATAATTTATTCTTGTTATATTAAACATATAAATCCAAATTTCTTTAAATTTTTTTATTTTAAATCAGTTTTAAAACTAAATACCATTTTTTTAAAAATTAAATCCTGCAGGGAGTGCAGAATTATTTAAATTTGGATTCAAGGATATCTGAGAATAGGGTCATGCCTGATAAACATTCTATTAAAATTTTGTCTTAATTCGATAGTTTTCCGCTATTTTATAGAAAGCTAACGGCAAAAGTTGAAAAACTAATCATTTTTTTTTTTTAGATTTTTATCGGTTCTGTGCGTGATTAAGTAGACTTTTTCAACTTTTGAACCAATCACATATAATTTCGGGTGTCTAATAAAAATCGGGCCATAGAAAAACATGGTATCGTGTTTGCAGATACAAAAAAAACACACACCATAGGAATACTAGCTTGGCGTCGGTGCTAAAAAACTGTTTTGTAAATAAATTAACAACATTGCGCTGCAATATATGTTTTTATTTTACTGCATTGCCAATATATGGCTAAACAAAATGTACTTAGAACGTGTTGTTATTTTAAAAAAATTTACCATTATTCGTAGTTTCTTGTTGTTTATGGTAAAGTTTCATCTATACCGCAGATACTCTAAATAAACCTTATACCGGTGATCCATCTTATGTGAGATACATGTTATGTAGTTATTTGTTTAAATACCATATTAAATTATTATAACATTCTATATGTGTTGAAAACTATAGTAGAATATCAAGCACTTATAATTATAGGAAACATTTTTCATCCAAGTCTGCAACCACGAAAGACATTTTCATATCTCGTTGAAGTACCAAATATAATTTTAATAATAAACAAATTATCTACTGGTTTGCATTTCTTCAATAAATGTAGACTAAAAGTAAATATATAAGCACAAGCCAATGTTGATATTCTGTGGTATCAATTATATATTAACACAAGTTAAAATTAGTATATAAAAAAAAAATGATTACCATTATCAAAATTGTTAGTGTATCAAATAAAAGCCGGATCTTTAGATTTTTTTGTACTTTTGACCCAATCACATATAATTTCGAGTATCTAATGAAAATCGGGTCATAGTCACACATGGTATCGTGTTTGCAGATACAAAAAAAACACACACCATAAGAATACTAGCTCGGCATCGATGCTAAAAACAGATTTGTAAATAAACTAACAAGTTTATTTTTCTGTATTGCCGAAATATGGACAAACATAATGTTTTTGAAATTTAAATGAGCATTTATGATGAAACATTTTTTTAAAATTGTATCTTTAAAATACACCTCAAGTTTAAGCTATTTTTCATCTTGTACTTTTATTAATTTAAAATATAAATTTTCTAAGAACGTTTCATCCAAATATATTATTCTTTTTCGATTATATCATAAAAATGTTTGCTATAAAAGCATGGATTGAGAGTAACAAGCATTTTGCTTAGTCACGTTTTGCAATGGGAAATTTAGTGCAAAACGTATTCTTAAAAGATAACTATAAAAAAAAACCATACATCTAAAATAATTTTAAAACCAAAACGAGAATGTTAATAATTGGCCTTAATCGGCAAAACATTCACTTGGTTTTTTTGAATCTATTTTACTATTAAAGTTTGTTCGTTGTGAAAACAACACATAATTTAAAAAATTTAACATCCCCGCCACCATTGCCAGCCACATCCCCATCCCCACCCTCATTAGAAGGATATATAAGGCTATAGAAGGATATATGTGTAACAACTGTGAATAAGTGTGTAAGTCGATTTCAGTGATTTTACAGAGGAGCGATTTTAAACTTTGACCAGCTGCCATAAATCGCTACTGAATCAATAACTCACATCTCTCTCAAGGTTTACTTGTTGGTCCAACGAGGTAGACATTTATCCGAGGTGTGCTAAACGTCTCACCTAACCACTACGATTTCGTGGGGCTATGTCGCGATTTCTTATCATTGACTGTCCCGTATTGTAATGTATAGTAATTGGTAAAAACATATCGCTAATATCTTATCTCTTATCTCTCCTATCTAATCGGATAAATCAGCTGATTTTTTCGTTATGATAACCGGAGTCGATTGTAAATGGTGTCGATTTTTCCGTGTATATGCTAAGACAAAAAAATGTCAATATCCCACTCAAGTAATTGAAATTAACTCAAATAATCCTAAAAGACATGAATTAGATAAATAACAAAAAACTATTTTTCGGTTAGGTTAAGTTATCTCTAGTCAAAAATCATAAAATATGTATAAAACAAATTTTAAAACCAAAACTTTCTCATCACGACTACTACGGAAGACCCGAGCCTTATATCAATTGCTTTAAATTTATTAATTTTTCTAGATAAAAATGAAAATTTCCTATGTTTTAATATCACTAATCTGCGTAAATGTTTTGGCAGATATAAGTATAAGTAAGTATTTTATTTATACTTAAGCACACAACGTAGATTAAAATCTAAAAAAAAATAATATTTAACTATTCTTTACAGTGGAATATATAGAGATGGTTGAAATTTCAAGTGAGTTATATTTTATAATCATATAGACTAACTTTGAGAGTTTTTAAATTTCACTAATTTTACACATACCTATTTTTTTTAAAACATTTACTACAGACATACAAATCAAGAAAGCTTCTGACTATAAAGATGATCATATAAAAAGTAAGATAATAATCAATGTACTAATATATAATTGTATTACAATGATTGCCTAGGTGTCAAATTACTTGTAAATAAAATATAAATTTATTTTTATATTTAAGAGGATGCCGCCCATGCAATTTTTTGTTATAATAATACGAGTTTGGCTTTCATGATACAGCGCCTCCAAAAATTGTCTTACAAAAAAGTTACCTTTATCACCTGAAAGTTATGAAACTTAACATTAACTTTAATTTAAGATTTTGTAAAAAATTGCCAGCACAAAACTTCTTCATACGTGAGGGGAGTGGCATCTTCAAAATGTGGTAGTTTTATATTTTGATTGGATCTGTGCACTGTCGCATGGGGGCACGAGCCTTTACTAAAAGTTACTATAATTTACTATGAGCACACTTGACTCTAAAAATTGATTATTTACCCTAACAGGGGTAGTTGCCTAATGCATGGTGTAATTTTTTCTAATGATTTTTTTTATTAATTTTAATTTTATTTGGAACTTTTCTAAAGGTCGATCTTGTATTTGTTTGTTCTAGATGGATTGGAGCATGTACTTACAGTTATGATAGATAAAGATAATTATGCAACGAGTAATAATAATTATGTGATATTAAAATTCTTCTCTACTCTAGTTTATGATAGAATAGAGTATTAAATTCAATACCAACAATTTTTTTATTAATATTTTCAGGATATTTTAATCAAATGTTCACTGTACCGGGTAATACTTTTTAACATATTTTCACATAGTCGCTTGATAATCAATAAGTATATACATTTTTCGATTTAATTTCAGAACATGCAGAAACTCACATTTTTGACTACCTACAACGTAATCAATTAACACTTTAATATAATACAAAGAATTATATATTGTAAAATATTGGTTTTATTTTCAAATTTAGATTCCATAATGACAGAAGAACATTTTTTGCAACAGGATATTTTTAACATATTAGGTGATTATAAAATTATCAGTTTTTTAATAAACAACTTTCTAAGGCCAATAAGCCCCTTAAAACGTAAATGTAAACAAACTACAAAAATATTAGATTGTTACATATCTTAGGTTTTTCAAACACATGTTTAAACAATTTTAAAGTGTACTGAATATAGTTAGGTTCATCAAGGAATAATAAAGTCACAAGGTCACAAAAAATGTTGTAGAAGACAGAATTAATACACATAAAAAAATTAGATTATTATTAAATTCATTGTGAAGAAAGTATTTTTTCAAACGTTACTATTTGCCAGAGATTAATTTTATGTTAATAAAACATTTTGCATTGACTTATTAGTCAAAGTAGTTCAATTATTTGAGTGACTTTTATAAAAATATAACAACCTGGTTTACGTAGCTGTATTATATTCTTGTTTCAGGTATCCGTGCTGATAAACCCAAAAGTAATTACAAAGTTATTCAACAGTTATTTAATATTAATACTATGTTTAGCATTGATTAATTGAAACTGTTATGGATAAATACAGCAAACCGAGTTTAAATAACTAAATTATTTTTAAAATTATTTTTACAGGTATTCCTAATCCTGCAGATACTACCAAAAGTAATTACAAAGTTAATTACTAAAAAAATTAGTAAAGTTTAGTTGGGGAGACTTACTGTTATAATAATTTTAACAACTATTATTTTTAGAGTAATTTTTGGAACAGCGTTTATCAATTTTTAACATTTTACCACAAAATACCATTTTTAACGTAATAGATTGTTGACGTTTTATGTTAACAAATACTTATGACTCGACAGACAAAATACGATACTAGTTCTTGTTGTTTGATATACTATCAAGAGCTGGTTGAATCATAGCACTCGTAGCACTAATAACGCTTCATTTATCATTGTACTCTACGCTAATAATGGACATTGGAAATCCCTCGCAGTTATAATTAGAAATTACGGCTTGTTTAAAAGATACATTTTTACACTATTTACAAGCCTTATGGTTACTCCTATTTGAATGTCTTGACTGGTTCGGCAACGTTTCGAAACACTTGCATGTTCGCAAGGCGTTTAAATAGTGTAAACGACGTGGCTCACTATTTACAATAACATATTAACATCTGTGAGACATGGTTTAGGAATTGGAAAATAAAAATAAACCAGTCACGTTACCTTTGCTCTCCGTCCTACAACATATCCTGCAGTAATACTCAACAATACAGTTAGCACTACTCAAAATGAGACAAAATATGTTAATTTAATATTAGACATACGTCTTACCTGGGGACCTCACTTTAAAGAAAAAAGAAAAAAATCAAATAAACTTGAATCATAAATTAAACCTGCTACTCAAGATTAAATTACTTATATTTAAGTCAATAATACGACTAATATGGGCAAATGGAATTCAAATATGGGGGGAGGACCAGCTAGACATTTAACAATAAGACCAATATAGGCGCTCCAAAATATATCAATACGAATGATTACAAATGCCCCTTGGTACATTAATAACAATATAACAAAGGTTGCAACGGGGAAATTTTTAAGATAACAGGTGAACACAAAATTATCAGTTTTTTAATAAACAGCTTTCTGAACCAATAAGCACCTGAAAATGTAAGCTACAAGCTACAAAAATATTACATATGTTAGGTATTTCAAACACATGTTTAAACAATTTCAAAGTGTACTGAATATAGTTAGGTTCATCAAGGAATAATAGGTCACAAAAAATGTTGTAGAAGACAGAATTAATACACATAAAAAAATTAGATTATTATTAAATTCATTGTGAAGAAAGTATTTTTTCAAACGTTACTATTTGCCAGAGATTAATTTTATGTTAATAAAACATTTTGCATTGGCTTATTAGTCAAAGTAGTTCAATTATTTGAGTGACTTTTATAAAAATATAACAACCTGGTTTACGTAGCTGTATTATATTCTTGTTTCAGGTATCCGTGCTGATAAACCCATAAGTAATTATGAAGTTATTCAATATTTATTTAATATCAATACTATATTTAGAATTGATTAATTGAAACTGTTATGGATAAATACAGCAAACCGAGTTTAAATAACTAAATTATTTTTAAAATTATTTTTACAGGTATTCCTAATCCTGCAGATACTACCAAAAGTAATTACAAAGTTAATTACAAAAAATTTAGTAAAGTTTAGTTGGGGAGACTTACTGTTATAATAATTTTAACAACTATTATATTTAGAGTAATTTTTGGAACAGCGTTTATCAATTTTTAACATTTTACCACAAAATACCATTTTTAACGTAATAGATTGTTGACGTTTTATGTTAACAAATACTTATGACTCGACAGACAAAATACGATATTAGTTCTTGTTGTTTGATATACTATCAAGAGCTGGTTGAATCATAGCACTCGTTGCACTAATAACGCTTCATTTATCATTGTACTCTACGCTAATAATTGACATTGGAAACCCCTCACATCTTACCTTTCCGATAGGAAACATTGCACTTAAGTGAACAGAGCAGTTTCTGAACCTTCTACTATCTCCTCAAGCGTCTATCAATGGGACCACCTTAGTCCTCTTTATTTCGTTAGCTCATTAGATGGACTTTTGCAAAAACAAGAAGTTTTTTTTTTTGCAGACGACATGATATATATTTTCATTAGTATTGCTTTTTCCGCGGATTATTGAAACCTACAAGCTGAAGTTATTTGATTTCTTGACTGGGCTCATCTCCTTGGTTATTATGAAAATTTTTAGGAGCTATAATTCTCTTCTACGTGGTTTATGTGCTTCGTAGTATATACCTTGCCGCTATATTTTGTGTATAAATGCGGTAGCTATCAGGACCTTAAGAGCCATCGGCTTAATGCTAATACTTTAATTTGAACTATACTGTATAGTTTTTTGTTCATCGTTTAAGATATTATTGTTTGACTGATTATTGCACTTCTATATTGTACTTTGTATGCGATATTTTTGTACATTTGTGAAAAAAATGCGTATTAGTGATTTAAATATCAAAATAAAACATAAGTACGATTATATTATTAAATACTGTATTATAAACCAGTTTATTTATAAATTTATGCAGGTGATGGAATTTCGAAATGTACCACATTTAATAATGCGAGAAAAATTCTTACAAAAAAACTTTGTTGTAAATATAAATATACAATTTTAAAGTATTACTTTTTACATAATCAATTTATTTGTACTATATTGATAATTTGTGGGTTTTTTTTAGAGATAAATAACTTTTTTTGTGTAACAGTATAACACATATATTTTAATTTATTCCTTGAGCGGAGGGGGATGGGGCTTTATCGACTAAAATCAACACTATATTTGGCATTGATTAATTGAAACTGAGATGAATAAATACAACAGACCGGGTTTAGTTAACTAAAAAATGTTTTAATATTTGTTTTACAGGTACTCCTGCGCATGCTGATGAAAACGATAACATTTACAAAGATGGTAGTAAATATATAATATTGCTTGTTTGAAAGATACAATTTGCTTATCAAATTCTTTTGTTCACACAATAATAACTAAAAAGTTAATTTTTAGTTGGGGAGCCTTAATAACATTTTACCACTATTATATTTAGGGTATTATTTTGAACGGCGTGTATCAATTTTTAAGAATACACTTATGCTCAAGAAGCGGTTTCTGATCCTTCTATTACGACATAAACATTTTTTTAGTATTACCTTATCAGTGGATGGTTGCCTACTACATATTGAACTTAGGTTTTTTCTGTATTTGGCTCATCTCAATGGTCTGACACTGTATGTTGAAAAATGTCATATTTTGTCATTTTCCTGGAACCGTATTCCGCTACTGCACGACTTCTTTATTCACGGTATTCAACTCCATCGAGTTTTTTCTATTAATGATCTTAACACCTTATGTACGCCTTCTCTACATTTTAGAGATCACTTAAACGCGGTAGCTAAAAAGGCTTTAAAAGTCATAGGTTTTGTGTTAATATTATATTTTGCATTCATTAATTGGTCAAATGATTCTCATTTTTGAGTTACTACTATGGATACATACAACATCACGGTTTGACTAACTATATAATTTATTTGTTACAGGAAATTATGTTACAGGTAGTACTGTGCATGATGATGAATACAATAGAATTTACAAAGCTACTAGTTAGTATTAATCAGAACTTATGGCTTATTTGAAAGATAAAATTTGCTTTATACAGAGTGGGGCGGAGCCGACTGACGAGTTTTGAGGGGCTATAAATAACGAACAGTAAAACTTAAAGATAAGCGGTTTGTTTTATTAAAATTATTAACAAGTACCGTTTTTTGGGTTAAGTTTTAAAAGCTACATCCCCAAGATGGTCACCGTCAGCAGCAATACATTGTTGCAGGCGTTTTTGGAATTTTTCGTGAGCTTTTCGGCACGTTTCGACAGCAACTTTTTTTTGTAGCGACGAGGCCCATTTCCATCTTTCTGAGGCTGTAAACAAACAGAATTTTCGCTACTGGGCTGAAAATAACCCACGGGAAATGCCCTCCATTCTCCTAAAGTGACAGTGTGGTGTGCTGTATCCCAATTTGGGGTGATCGGCCCATACTTTTTGAGGAGGGGAACAGGACCGTCACAGTCACTTCTGCTCGGTATGTTTTAATGTTGACAACTTATCTGCAGCACAATTTGGAGGAAATGGCTGAAGATCATGAATTGGGAGATGTGTGGTTTCAACAAAATGGGGCTACAGCCGAATTACAGCTCGTAATTCACTGACCGTTTTGCGACAAATGTTTCCGGGGCGGTTAGTCTCACACAGGGGTGACGTGGTCTGGCCGGCGCGCTCCCCCGATTTGAGCATGTGCGATTTTTTTCTCTGGGGCTTACTAAAGGAGAAGGTTTTTAAACATCACCCGCATACGTTAGAAGACCTGAAGGTCAGGATAACCGAAGAAATCGCGGCTATTCCTATAGAAACGTGCCGAAAATCACACGAAAACTATCGAAAACGCCTGCAACAATGTATTGCTTCTGACGGTCGCCATCTTGGTGATGTAATTTTCAAAACTCAACCCAAAAAACGGTACTTGTTAATAATTTTAATAAAACAAACCGTTTATCTCTAAGTTTGACTGTTCGTTATTTATAGCCCCTCAAAACTCGTCAGTCGGCTCCGCCCCACCCTGTATATTATTATATTGTTCACATAACAATTTACTATAAGTTGGGGAGACTTGTTTTAAGGGTTCTAGAATGAAATAGTAATTTGGCAACCTTACCAAACTTAGAATCAGATAAAAATTGAACGAATACATAATACATTTTGAGCATACGCGCCTTTTTACAAAAATCTGATCTCTATTTTATTTGTTCACCCCTTCTAGGCTCCATCAATTTTAGGCTTCATCCTGATATTATAATTTTCAAATTTTTGTACGTTCCTTTCCTCTGTATGTACTAATTAGGGCATTAAATTTTAAAAATAAAACAAATAATTACGAAAATATTAATCTTTTCAAACCAGTTTTTTATATAAATATTTATGCAGGTACCGAAACTAATAATTTTCATAATTTTTTGCGTTCCTTCCCACTCTGATTGTATCTATTAGGGTGTTAAATTAAAAAAATCAAAATACAAACGAATATATAAATAAATATTATATTTTCAAACCAGCTATTTATACACTTATGCAGGTACTGAAACTTTAAAATTGACCGAACTTGGAAAGGCGAGAAGAGGTCTTACTGGAGATGCTATTATAAATGTGCTTACCAAAAAATTAGGTGATTATAAATAAAAAGATTTAATATTATTTATTTTTTTAATAACATTTAATTTTACAGCATGATTAATTTTAAATAACACAGTATTTTATAGACTACTTAACACAACATTTTTTGTTTCTTTATAATTTTTACAAATATACTTAATATTTATTATACAATTTTTAATTTCACCTCTTTTTTTTTTAATTGTGTTTATAGTGACCCCTGTTTATAATTTTCACATGTAAAACTTTTCAGCTTTCTAATAAAAACATTTAAATAATTTTAAAATTTTGGACAACACAAAAAAATTACCTTTATAAATTACAAACTCATTTTAAATAACTATTAATACAAAAAAAAAACATAATTTTTTCTTTTAATACTGAGATTTTTTACAATTATACATATTTTATATAATTGTATTACTTATTTCATTTACGTTTAATAATTGTGTCAAATTAATTAACATCAATTGCACAAAAAAAAAATGGCTAATAATTGTTAATTTTGGCAATTTTTAACAACTGTATTCTGTTTTTTTAGCTGATATCATCTCGGTTGACAAGAAGTATTCTGTTTACACATTTAATGTACAATTTTTCAGCTTTCTAAAGAAAATTCTTAAATTTTGGGCAACAAAAAAAAACAAATTTATAAATTATAAACTCATTTTTATTGAGTGTAAATAATAAACAAAAAAAAATTATAATTTTTTTCAGAAAGCTTAGATTTTTACTATTATACATAGTAAATATATTTGTATAACTTGTTTTATTTACGTTTAGTAATTGTGTCTTGCACTGAAAGGAATATAGTCAATTATAAGTTAAATTTGGTATTTTTTTAACAACTGCTTTTTGATTTTTTAGCTGAAATCACCTCGAATAATGAAGTTGACAAGGAGAAAGCTGCTCATAGGATTTGTACTTTGATAGCAATGTGGGTTAGTCTTAAAATGTTTTTAAACACGTATTATATTATAAATCCATATGATGATGTATGTATGGTAGTAGAAATAAGGGGTGAAGTCAGACGTGTTGTAAAATATAGATCACTTGAAGGCGAATATTGGCAAGTAAATGCCTTTACAAAAAAAAAACTAAATGTACAACTACGCGAGGATATCAGTACTCTGCTTGTGTTTAGTAGCGAATAATACTAGATATCAATCGTTTATTTATTTTAAAATTATATTTAAATAAATAATTAAAGTTTGCATATTGCACTAAATTAGTTTATTTGATATATGCTTATTTATTGTTATTATTATGTAGTTTCATTATTATTAGTATTCCCATTATTATCATTATAATTATCAGCCGATTGTCATATGTAAAATAAAATAAATAAATGATAAAATAAACGCTTTTGTTCACGATTTTAAACACATTTGTTGCGAATTATTATTGATATCATGGCGATCAACCTTATCGTGTCTACCCTAATGCAACAAAATAATTTTTAAGCACATAATTGTCATTAGGTACAATGTTTTTGTTGATATTTGTGTATTGAAATAAGTCTTTTATTATCTGTGAACATCCGTTATTCTTCTCTAAAACATAAAAATAAGTTCTAAATGAACGTTTTTTTAATAATGTAATCTATAAGGTATTGATGTAAGAGGACCAATCTAATGAAATACTACTACTAGGTAATACTCACTTACATTCTTACTTTCTTACTGTGTTTGGACTATACTGGTTTGACCCTACTATCCACAGATTCACATTGTAGCGTTTATGTTATTCTATCAATTGAATATCGTACATATATTATATTTTGTAAGTCTTCGTTTTTTTTCTCCATAACATAAATATAAAATCTAAATTAACGTTAAGTAAATTTTTGATATTATGCTCAAAATGTAATTGATATTAGCGAACAAATCTAATGAAATTTTTTTGTTTTTAATGACAATGATTTAATGACTTCAATTCTACAATTCATCAAACTATGATATTTTTGAACTTTCTTAAACATAAGCCCGAAAATTTATTTTAAAATAAATGGTTGAACTTTAAATACTTTAATTGATGGGTAGCCCTTTGAATAGTGAAAATCGATTATAATATATTCAGGAGTTTTGAATTTTTTTGTTGTCTGGGTAATTATGATTTAAATTTATAGATACAAAACAATATTCACTTTAGGAAAATTTGTTTAAAACTAAGTTATTGATTGTTCAGACTTTTCTATGGATAGAATGGTTGCGGCCAAAGGAGGGAGTGAGAGCAAGAACTTGGAATAGGATATTAGTAAAAGATTTTGTACAAATTATATAGTTAAACCAGTTTGTTATATTTATCCATTACAGTTCCAATTAATTAATGCTAAAATTTCAATACCCGCATAAATATAAGTATCAAAAACTGGTTTAAAAATATAATATTTATTAATATATTCGTATTTATTTTTATACTTTAAATGTAACACCCTAATGAGCACAAGTAGAGTGGGAGGAAACGTGAAAAGATATGGTGATTAGAATATCAGGGGCATTAATAGAACCTATAATTTATACATAACCTGGTTATTAAATAAAAGTGTTAATATATTTGTATTTATGTTTTAGTTTGAAAATATCGCATAAAAAGTACAATAAAATAGGAAGTATGATACAATAATAAAAAACACATAATGTGTAACATTAAAAAAAAAAATACCAAAAATGGCTTAAGCTAAAAATTATAAACGTTAATTTAGAATTTATTT